GCAGCCTGACCAGACTACTATAGTGGCAATAAGCCACAGTGCCATTTACAGTATCTAGGGCTTTGTCACCAAGAGAAATCAAGAATATTTTCACAATACATTCCAGGTGCTACAGTTATTTCTAAATATGCTCATCAGTACTTCAAAATCACAGTTGTCATGAAACCCACTGCTAAGTCATGTTACTTAATGTATTAATAAAGGAGCACGTGTGTTACTACACCATCATTTAAGAAAAATGATAATTTCATTTCAAATTATTGGTTTTCTCCATAACCCTATGTATTTTACATAATTCATTTAAAAATATTATTCTGCGAAGGGTCCATAGGACTGACAAAGGAGTCCAGATCTCAAGATGGGTTAAGAACCGCTGCTTTAAGAGGAAGGGAAACAGTATAAAAATACATCTCTACACCTCACAGCCCTTCCTCCATCGAGGATGGAGATTTGGGACGAGGTGGTGGGGGGATGTGTGTATTGAAGAGATTGTCTTTCCAGTTAGAAATTATTACAGAACCAGTTCAACATACGTAAGTCAATAAATATGATTCACCACATAAACAAATGCAAAAACAAAGATCATATAATCTTCTCAATAGATGCACAAAAAGCATCCAATAAAATCCAGCACCGTTTCATGATAAAAATCCTTAACAAACTAGGCATAGAATGGAATACCTCAGAATAATAAAAGCCACATATGGCAAGTCCACAGGCAACACCATGCTGAATGGGGAAAAGTTGAAAGCATTCCCATTAAGAACTGGAACAAGACAAGAATGCCCACTGTCACCACTTCCATTCAACATAGTGCTGGAAGTCCTAACCAGAGCAATCAGACAATAGGAGAATATTAAGGGTATCCAAATTGGGAAAAAAGAAGTCAAACTATCACTCTTTGATGATGATATGATCTTATACCTAGAAAACTCCATAGATTCCACCAAGTGTCTCTTGGAATTGATAAATAAATTCAGCAAAATCTCAAGATACAAAATCAATGTACATAAATCATAGCATTTCTATATATTAATAACAGTCAAGCTGAGAGTCAAATCAAATACTCAATAGCATTCACAATAGCTGCAAAGAAAACAAAATACCCAGGAATATACTTAACCAAGGAAGTGAAAGATCTCTACAAGGAGAACTATGAAACTTTGAGGAAAGAAATTGCAGAGGATACAAACAAATGCAAAAACAGCATGCTCATGGAGAGTTAGAGTAAACATTGTTAAAATGTCTGTACTGCCCAAAGTTATTTAAAAGTCAAGCATCCCCATTAAATTACTGAAGTCATACTTCACAGATCTAGAAAAAA